GAACATCTATGCATAAAAACAGTTTTTCCCCCATGCCATCGCCATCTTAAACAGCTAACACAGAAATGATGACCTGTTTTCTGTAATTCATTTCTCCATTACAAGTATTATGTAAATACATATACATATTTTTATTTATACAACTGTATAATAATGCACAAATCTGTACATAAATCTTCTGTTCCAGATTTTACCACATTATTATTTTCTTTAGTCTTATTTAATTGTTCTCTGTTCTCATGTCTTATATATATATATATATATATATATATGTATGAATGTACCAAGAGCTCCTAAAAAAAACACAAATTCCTTGCATGTTTGCACCATAGACTGTATAAAAACATGGACGTAGTGTCCGTGACGTCACCCGTAGTTTCCTGAAGAGCGGTCATTTTTTGAACCAGGCTGTAAACGTTTTTTTCTGTTGTAAAGTTGGGCATTTTAACATGGTGAGTCTATGGGATTGACTCCCTTTTGCAGCCAGCCTCTAGCGTCCAGTTGACCAATTACAGTTTAAGTCACTTCCTTGTTGGCTTCACGAGAGAGAGCAGGAGGTTGCCGCTTGGTTTGCACACACTTGGCGAATAAAGTTCATTCTGATTCTGATTTGTTTGAATCCGCATGAATCCACTGGATGAGAATGAGTTAGTTTATAGTCCTAGTCTTCGATGAGGTCATTTTCAGGCCCTCTCCACACCTGACAGCTTCTTTTGCTGAAGGTTCAGTGAGTTTATGCACATTGGCAATAAAATATAAGCCATGACAAGCAAAACCAGCTCAGTAAACTGGGGATGCTGCCCTCTTGATGAGTAAATTACAGAGGATGTGGAAACTAATGAGCGTATGAGTTTTTGACGAGAGGGAGGCGCATATCAGGGATGAAACACTGGAGGTTTGGAGCAACGGAGTCATAAAAAAGTGGCTGTTTGTGTCTCCATGTGCACTTGCCTAGAGCATACGGCGAGATACACATCCGCATCATGGTGAGTCGGCTCTTCATTAATCATACACTACGGAGTTTCCCTTGCCACTTTTTTGGCCCAAGCATGCTGCAAGATACAACACGAGATGATGCTGAATGAAAGACAAAGTCTGCTGTGATTTTAAGGGTACATTTACAGTCCGGCCTTTATAACGTAGGCACTATAGCACGTGCCTCTCTAAAGCCAACCCAAAGCTTTGGTTGAATACTCAATGCGTCCATTTCTACAGGAAGCATTCATGTCGAATGGGCTTGGAACGCAGCGTCTGTCTCAGCGGAGAGTCATTGTGAAGGATGACATCCGAGATTATAAATCAACAAGCCTCACCATGACTTCAGAAACCGACTGAAACCACAAGAGCAATATGCTTCATGATGGAATCCACCAAGGACCGGATCCTCACTCTGCTGTCACGCAATGCTGACGAGATCCAGCGAGAGATTGCGAGCTTTCTTAACACACCTAGCAATCATTGCTCCAAATAAACATTCCATGTAGACATTCATGCAACTACTACATTTAACCGTCACGGGCTCCCAAGATACACCCAAGATAAATGTACCCTGTACTGTTTCAAAACAGGAATGACAGGTATCTCTTGATTAGACTGGATGCAGTTAGCCAAAAAATTAGCCTTGTAATAATATTTGGGTGCCAGGTAGAGGTGTATCAGGCACACACCTGTCTTTCTTACTTAATGTCAGAATAAACAAGAAGCAGACAGGAAATGCATGATCCTGACAGGAAGCTAATGGGGTAAGGACAGTCAGAGCCCTTTAGAGTTGGAGCCGAGGTAAATGAGTATGCCTGAACCGGGCCTCCGCTCTGCTCAGGGAGTATCAGGTTCTGCCACATGGGTCAGCTAAGTCGAGTTGTGTGTACCTTTCTTTTCAAGTGCTGACTCTTCACATTTAGAGCCTCGTCACGGCTATCGATCCTATCCATCTGGGTTTCCTCGCAGGATTCTGGGTCTTAGGATGCATCCAGTTGCGTCTCTGCAAACAGCGAGTACATCTGCTTTAAAAACAAGCACAAGCATGACACAGACTCTATGTATAGACTCTTTAAAAATAAAGGATGTCGCAGTGATGCCACTGAAGAACCTTTTTTGGTTCTTAAAAGAACCTTTCTTTTTTCTTAGTGTGAAGAACTATTTTCTTTTAATGAAGAACAATGTGAGATTGAGGAGAACGTCTCTCAATGCTGAAGAAGAAACACGAGGATTTAGTGGGAAGGAACAACGATGGCCAAAATCATCCTCCACCAGGACTGATCCTCTAAACATCTCTTTTCTTCCTTATTGGAGATCTGGGAAGCTCGTCTGAGCCATCTTATCATGGGAGGAAATGGTTGATTTGATGTGGCGTTGGGCCGTGGGCTTGGATCCTTTCCCACCTTCTGTCAGAAAGGTCATACTAGGAGGAAGAGCCAAGGGAATTGCTGCAAGGCCCCCATCCAAATGAGACACCCCATATCCTCCTTCTATGCTGTTCAACGGTTCCACTTCGGGGTCACTTGATCCGAATCGCAGAAAGCCACACCCCTTTCAGAGTCTGCGAATGTGCTCAGAGTTACGTAATAGCATGATTCAGAAATCTAAAGGCATGTAGTGGACTTGGATTTGGTGTTAGGGGGTTTCGTGACACATGATGATGCAATCCCGTGACTCTACCCGTTCTCACTGTGAACCAGCACACATGGCGTTCACAGGCCTCTGGGAAGGCCGCTTTCCACCCATTTCTGTGCCTGCAGGTTTAACTGTGGGATTCCAGGCTGCAGGAAAACACATTTTATTGCATTTCCATAGTGGTTGTGGAATTGTTATTTTCCTCTTCTTTTCCAGGATTCCTGCTGATGCTGTTGTCTGATGGCGGTTTGTCAGCCGAGTGACAATTCCTGCTTAATTTCAAGAGGAAGCCTGAATGCCCTCAAACATGTCTGCTGATAGCTTTGTTCCTTGGCCAAGAGCAAACCGTTCAGCTCAGCTGTGGAACTGCTCCCCAGAGCCAAAGCATCATAGAAGCAATTAACCATGGGTAGTTTGGCTTAATGAATACTATCAATTACAAAGCCTCTGTACGTACAGAGCTGGAAAAACTCTGGGAGTGTGTGGTATTTCAGAGGGGGGGGAAATGTATGTAAAAAATTCATATCGAGATTATTTTTAGCAGTTTTGTATTACTTGAGATGAATGTTTAGTAATAAAACAGCAATCTACAGCTAATCTACATGATCTCTAAATCGACTCAGGTTAATGAGCACAAACCCAAGGCTACATAGCTGTTGACCTGCAATATGAGTTGGCAAATGCGCTCAAAGATGTTTTTTGTTTGTTTAGTTTGCTTGTTGATTAGTTTCAGATCTGAACACTTCACAAGGCAGGATCTGAGAGTCTGGAACATTCATTTGAGATTCTATCTTCCGCTGTTTGCCGCAGTTCACAACTTGCCGGTGCTGTTGGAAAAAAGTCATATTATGTGGCATTAAGCAATTTTGGTTTCTTAATTAAAACAGATTTATTGGTCAATTTTCTCTGTTCAATATTTCCTGTCTTAAACCAAGCCACGGATTTAAGCATCGCCGTCCTTTACGGTTAACAGCACAGTCACTGCTCCGGAAATACTTTTGTAATTGATTCTGCATGTGTATGACACAGAAATGAAAAATTACCAATATTTATTTAATCGCTACCCTTCCTGTTATATTGACTTGACACAAAATAAGCAAAAATACTGTTTTACTTGGACTGTACATCAATAGTGCTTCAATTTCTTGAAGTCTAGCGTGTAGAACTGGAACGGCACAGCTTAAATAATATAGCTTATAAAAAATACCCCGCAGTATGAAAAAAAAAAAAAAAAAAGAGCTAGTCAAAGATATGAAATCACTGTTTACAAAAAAAAATGCAATTAAAGAGGGAAAATAAAGCAAGAGCACAAGTGCAAATTAGTCTGATGGAAGGGGAGGTGCGAGATTAAAATTAACTAAACAACATGCAGCTGTTACTCAATTTCAACAAAAAGGAAAGAAGTAATTTTATATCCAACACAAACACACATGCACTTTTATAAGCTCATATAAAATCTTAAGATGCAGTTAATTGCATTTCCGTTAAAACCAAAATTAAATGCATGAGGAAATTGTCTGTTTCGTTGGAAACTTGAGATGTTTTTTTCTAATACATTTATGAGACAAGAATGCAATTAGTGGCTACACTACAGCTACACTACACAACTACAGCTGATCGGTTTGGAGAAACAAATTAAAAATTAAACAAATGAAACAACACTTTCATCAAAATATCACACTGAATCAGAATCCCTGTTCTGGGAATCTGAAGACAGCTAATGTACAAAACTCAGAAACAGACAAACCAAAAATGTAAAATGCACTAGTTTGTTATAATATCAGCAAAGAAACCTATATTTGGAACGGGTGAATGCAAAAGAGAGCAGAGGTATTGATAAAGACAAAACAGAAACCCTGATGACCACTAAATTGACAAAATATATAGCTAAATAAAATGTTAAATAAATAAATATGACAGCAGATAAGCAAATAAATACAGTCAATGCCCAAGAGTAAATGTTTGCTGTAAATTCTTTTTGGTCTCTGTGGAGAGAAAGAAGTCATGAGATGGTGAGGCTTCATATGAAGATGGTGAGGCTTCATATGAAGATAGTGCCATCTAGAGCCATCCTTCAGACAGCACTGAATCAATATAAACCCATTACAATAAACAAACTACTACAGCCAAAATAGAGCAGAGAGCAAGTCTAGGACTAAGTTAAATGCACAAACAATGACTCAACAAATAAAAAGTCTTGATTTAACATCACAATACACCATATAGTCCTACGCAGATACTTTTATAGATTTGACATGTTTTTGTGTTGCCACTTGAGTTGCCACTTGGCCAGAACTGAATTCTGTAAAGATGAAAGTGTTAAAATGATAGGACATGCCAATCCCAGGGTACCAAAAGACAAAGTTGAAACATGCAGCAAATTATCATTATCTAGATACTACATGACAATTTTGCTGTTTGTCTATGAAGGTCACTGTTTGCTGGGGTGCAGCTCAGTTGTGAGTGACTAGGATGTCACGGAAATGTTTGTACTCAGCACTGAGGGTGTTTGAAGTTATTTAAAACTGTTTTGCTAACCTCAACTACGTGCCTTTTCTACTAAATCCCACCATGGAAAAACATGTCAGCAAACCCAAATGTGCAAAATAAGAGTTTAAACCTTTTTTGGTAAAAAAAAAAATGCAGGCCGCTTCCATGACCCTTCTTTACTTACAAATAATACATTCAGCTCAGTTTACAGAGCCTAGAGCTGACCATGTGGTCAAGAAGTAGTTCATACAAAAATGAAAATTTGCTGACAATTTACTCGCAGGCCATTCAAGATGACGTTTTTCATCTAAACAGATTTAGCATTATATCACTCGCTCACCAATGGATCCTTTGCAGTGAATGGGTGCCGTCAGAATGAGAGTCCAAACAGCTGATAAAAACATCCACACAGAGTAATCCACACAACTCCAGTCCATCAATTAACGACTTGTGAGAGTTTGCAAGAAACAAATCCATCATTAAGGTGTTTTAAACTTCAAACCATTGCTTCTGGCCAAAATTCAAGTCCATAATTCATAATAATGCCTCCTGCAGTGAAAAAGTCCATTGCCTGTTTTCCCCTCACATCAAAATCCACCAACATATTTGGACTGTTTTCACTAGTAAACAGTGCTTGATCTGTGCATATTTCTCTCCTGATTCAGACTAAATAACATTTTCACTGAAGAAAGCAATATGGATTATGGATAGAGGACTTGCTGGAAGCAACAGTTTGAAGTTAAAATATCTTTATTGGATTTGTTTATTACAAACATGCAGCCTGGTGCTTCACAAACCATTGTTAACTGATGGACTGGAGTCATGTGGATTACTTGTGGATTATTGTGATGTTTTTATCAGCTGTTTGGACTATCATTCTGACGGCACCCATTCACTACAGAGGATCCATTGGTGAGCAAGTGATGGAATGCTGAATTCATCAAACAAACTCATCTAGGATCTTGGATGGCCTGAGAGTGAGTACATTTTCAGCAAATTTTCATTCTTGAGTGAACTATTCCTTTGACTTACACAAAAAGTAAAAGAACTTTAAAAAGTAAACAAAAAAATGGTTCTTGTAAGAACTGTTCACTAAATGGTTCTCTGTTATTTGTAGGCTACATCATAAAGTGTACTTCCATATTTATTTTGGATGGGAAAAGTCCAAACAAATCCCGCTCCAGTTCAAACCAAGGAGGTCATATTGGGTTTTAAAGAGTGCTTCGCCTCTGCCTGGAGATGGCCAATCACAGATTAGAATTTTGAGATGACACCTGGACTGGCCAATCACACTTTAGGGATTTAGTGCTCACCCATCTGGACACTCATCCTACGCTTGGAGTTTTTGGTTGCTAAGTGGCCTCCTTCCAGATCCGCTGTTGAAAACAATCGGAAAAAGAAGACAGTCAAGATCTGCTGCTGACATATTGACATTAAACATAGGGAGCTTTGTTCAAGATTTTGATGGCAGCGTAACAGCAAAAATGCACCGAGGGGAGATTATTACATGGTACCCACAAACAAGAGTGCACTTAGTAGTGTGTGAACCTACCTTTCCCCCAGATGCAGATAGAGGGACTGCAGTTCTCTACAAGCCCACTGGTGATTCGTTGGCAGAGTCCGGCCTTTCCCAGGCTTTGCTTTTTCCAGTTTGTGGTTTTCAACAAGATGTGGTTTTAGTGTCACAGCACACTAAAGTTATAGTCTGACAAGAAAAAAAGGCAGTTGTACCCAGAGAGTGATCCTGATGGATGAAACCTGGGAAATCTGCAACATGGTTAAAAACCTCAGTGGAATCAGTGCACATCAGGGGCTATTATATGATGGTGAGATATGATCGCTTAACATGATATCTTCTAAGATCCCTGAGAAACCTGTGGGCAGGGCCTCTGTGAAGACAGGCTCGGTCTTACAGGAAGTATAAATTACTTCCTGTGCTGAATGATAATTATGTTTTTTAATCATGAGCTTTAGCAATAATTTTAAATGCTGAGAGTGAAGAATAATAATAACGACCCCTTAGGGCAAACAAACCATACAGCTAAATAAAAACAATTAAAAAAAAACAACCCAATGGGAGCATAGAGCTGTGTGCAAAAGGTTTTCCCATATCAGTATTATAGATAAAATATATCAAATTTATAAATTACTTAAGTTATATTTTAATGGATTAATTTTACTTTAGTAAAACATAATACGATGATAATAATAATAAGATGATGATAATAATAATAATAAAACTAGACACAATAAAATTAAAAAGTAAAAAATTAGTTTAAAAAAATTTAAATTAAATTATTTTTTTAAAGAAATTAATACTTTTATTCAGCAAGGATGCATTACATTGCTTAAAAGTCGCAGACCACTCCACTATTTTTGCAAATAATGAAAAAAAAAACATCAAGGTAATGAATAATGAGACAATCAGAATCTTTTAGAGTAAAAAATATTTATCTGGATAAAAAAAAAATGTAGTGAGGCCAACTTAAAAGTTGCAACAAATTGAAATGTTCAAGCAAAGTTGAAGCTCCTTCAGTAAAGTGCAGAAGTACTCACTGACACTACTATCAATTCAAAAAATACATGGACTGTGTAAGGCAATTTTCAGCAGTATGAAGATGATATACAGTGGGTACGGAAAGTATTCAGACCCCCTTAAATTTTTCACTCTTTATTATATTGCAGCCATTTGCTAAAATCATTTAAGTTAATTTTTTTTCCTCATTAATGTACACACAGCACCCCATATTGACAGAAAAACAGAAAAATTTAAGGGGGTCTGAATACTTTCCGTACCCACTGTAAGAACACATAACCAATATCATAATTCTAATATTTAATAGTCATTACTCTAGTGCTGTAACAACCGCTGACACAAGCTAAAATAACAAAAATAAGACTAATTTCAATATGATTTTCTCTCATCAGTGGTGTTCAATATTGTCCTTCATTAAAGCAATAAGCCACAAAAGGCAGTATGTTGCAGTGATTTTACTACAGGTAAGCGTTTTCTTTGGCACAGTGCAAAGAAGAGTATCTAAAACGCTCTAAAAATGGCAGCAGCAGTGCATATACTCACAATAAGAGTGCAGTACTCTCAGCTCCATTTAACACATTTTTACCAGGAATCCATTCCACAGATTTCCCCCCAAAATCAACACAAAAATGCCATTACCTTGCCATTACAGCTGCCAGTCTTGTGGAAGTCATTGGTTTCCATGTAAGTAGTGTTGGAGAGCGAGTGGCCACTCATACCTTTGAGTTCATCGACCGTCAACATGGAGAAGCAGAGGTACATCAGTCCTTGTGAAACATAACATTTATGACGGTTTCAGGCAGCGGAAGGGAAGAGATACATGCTAGACCAGGGCTGCCCAAACTCGGTCCTGGAGGGCCGGTGTCCTGAAGAGTTTAGCTCCAACCCCAATTAAACACACCTGAACCAGCTAATCAAGCTCTTACTAGGTATACTAGAAACTTAAAGGCAGGTGTGTTGAGGCAAGTTGGAGCTAAACTCTGCAGGACACCGGCCCTCCAGGACAGAGTTTGGGCAGCCCTGTGCTAGACGCTTCTTGCCCATGATCTTCCGGATGGTAATGCGGCACAGGTTCATCAATCTCCTCGGGTTTCCTGTGTTGGAAAGCAATATTAGCTAGTACATATCAGGCCTCAAAGACCTTTAGTAAGACATTTAGTAATTTGACAGTCATGGAAAGAATCATTTTTGAAGTTATACCCTTAAATAAAACAATTAAGCAATTTTGGATCTCCTGAATTTCCTGCACTGCCTTTTTCAAGTTTACTGTTTTACATCATTTTCTCTTATTAAAAACATACCTTCAACAAAATGTTCACATCCTGTATATGTTTTTAGTATTTATATACTTTTATATTATTTATTAATATTTTGAATTATTTTTCATGTTTATATATTCCATTTTCATTTTAATTTCAGTTTAAGCTTTACAAATTTTATGCCTTTTGCCATTTTGTTAGTTTTTTATAGTTCTAAATGGCTTTGATTTTTTTTCCATTTTTTTTTTTGTAATTTTATTATTTCAACTTAAACTTATTTCAATTAATTGCCAAATCAACATTTCAAATTTTTGTTGAAGTTTTTTTTATTTAAGTTTTTTTATCTAATATTTATTTATTTTATTTTATTGTAGTTTTATTTCAATTACCAAAAACTATTTCAACAGTTTTAGTTAAATCATTTGTATGAAGAAATAAAAATAAATAAATAAATATCTGAAATATTCTTTAATAAAACGCTGTTTTTTCCATATTAAAAGTGCATAGCATATGACTAAAATCCACTGAAAATTTAAAATGTTCATCTACCTGTGATAATGTAAAATGAACTTTTCATCTTTAAAAATTGTGAACTTGTTGGTCTTCATTTTACATAACATTTTTTATTTTTTTTTGCTATAAAACTTTCATAATCCTTCAAATTTCCATTTATATCCAGGTTTAAATGAAACTAATTCTAGATTTTTGGAATTTTCACTGTAAAAAAAATTGCATTTAACACCGCAAAAATATATACTGCATAATAGAAGTGACCCCAATAATGACATCAAGAACACATCTTACTTTTGGCCTCCTGGTTGATGCGAAAGGCTTCAGCATTGACTTTTAAGCGAACCATGGTATCAGGATTGAGCTCGTCCCAGGGGATTAGATACGGGTCATCGCCGTGGTCCAGCAGCAAGCTAACGAAGGCTGGTTCACATCCGAGTTTCAGAACTGCATCCAGCATACAGGAGGCCCGGCCCCTGACCAGTGCTTCCCTGCTCACGGGGCCATTGTAGTTGTAGTTTGGGTTGGCACTGGCATTCAGAAGCATCCGGAAGCAGAGGAGGTGGTGGTAAGCAGCGCTGATGAAAAGTGGACAGGCTGCCAGAGTTGTCAAAGTGCGGGTGCCGAACATAAACCTCTGGTCCAGCCGGTGTATCAGCTTTGAACCTGTGTGTATTCCAGGGCAATCAGCATAATCATAATTCACACTTAAATAATCCATGAGAACATACACTGGCAGCCAAAAGTCTGGAATAATTAAGATGTTTTTAATGTTTTTGAAAGAAGTCCGTTCTGCTCACCCAAAGCTGCATTTATTTGATCAAAACACAGTAAAAACAGTAATATTGTGAAATATTACTACTTATTTAAAATAACCGTTTTCTATTTGAATATATTTTCAAATGCAATTCATTCTTGTGATGTAAAGCTGAATTTTTAGCAGCCATTTTTTCCAGTCTTCAGTGACACACGATTCTTCAGAAATCATTCTAATATGCTGATTTGGTGCTCAGGAAACATTCCTTATGTTTATCAATGTTGAAACAGAAGCACTGCTTAATATTTTTATCGAAACCGTGATACACTATAGTAGACATCTGTCATGTTACAAAAATTATATTTTAAATAAATGCCGTTCAGTGAACTTTGTATTCATCAAAGAATCTTGATGTAAAAATGTTTCCACGAAAATATTATTCAGCAAAGACTGTTTTCAACATTGATAATAATCAACAAGCACTAATAATAATTGAGCACCAAATCAGTGATTTCTGAAGTCAAAAATTCAGCTTTGCATCACAGAAATAAATTACAGTAATTTTAAAATATATTCAAATAGAAAACAGTTCTTTTAAATTGTAAAAATATGCCACAATATTGCTGTTTTTACTGTATTTGTGATCAAATAAATGCAGCCTTGGTGAGCATTATTCCAACTTTTGGCCACCAGTGTAGAGTTGGAACTGAACTCCATTTTCAGTATTTTATGTAGTTATAGATTTTACAAGATATCCTGACCTGATCAGCTCTAGTAGGATGTCCACTTGGCCCACTTGTGCAGTGTGGTATATTGGGGTGCTCAGGTGATGAATGCTGCCGTTCGGATCAGCATCGGCTTTCAGAAGGATGTTCACACAGTCCAGGTGTCCATTAACCACAGCCATGTACAGAGCAGTCTGACCCTTCACATCCACCAGGTCCACTGCAACTCCCTGAGAGATCAGGTAGTCCACACACTCGCTGTGACTCATCATGGCAGCGATACACAGGGGCGTGCAGGGCAGCAAACCACAGGACCAAATCAACTCCTCCTTAGGATCCTCCTAAAAAATAATTCAATGTTACACATTGAAAAAACAATTGTATATTCTGTGTTAAGAATATCACCTTTGAATTGCACCTGAAATGAGGATATACACGGGTTGTGAGTTTTGCCCAATGTAAAACGTGGGTCCTATAGCAAAAACCAGTGGTGTGTAGGCACCCTTAAAGGAATGGTTCACCAAAAATGGAAAACTTACTCACCCTCAGGCCAGCCAAGATGAGTTTAATGAGTTTGTGGAACAGTGTGAATTACTTATTCTGATGGCACCCATTCACTGCAGAAGATCCATTGGTGAGCAAGTGATGCAATGCTAAATTTCTCCAAATCTGTTACCATGAAGAAACAAACTCATCTACATCTTGGGTGGCCTGAGGGTGAGTGAATTTACAGCAAGATCCATTTAAGATATTTTTATTGAACATTACGAGGTCAAAAAAAAGTATAAATACATGGATGAATTGGTTACAGTAAGATCTATAACATGCAGGGGCGGATTTAGTGAATTGGGGGCCCCAGGCAAAATATAGGAATGGGGCCCTATACATTTGCACATATTTACCTCGATCAACCTTGGGGTTCCTTTTTTGTTGTGATGCTTTCTGCTGCACAATGTTGCGCCATAGTTGTGTCCAGTGTTTCTACTTTTTTCATGTACATGTTATAATGGCTTTCTTATGTTGTAGACCACAAAATACCAATTGATTTACAGTTGAGATACAGGTTTTCACAAAAAAAAAAAATGGTTTAAAGACTCAATTGTGAGGTTTGTCGTTTTATAATTTATTTTAAGAAAAGGGATGAGTCAGAAATATAAATTATTATTTTAATTTAAAACGGGGTTATCTGGCTGGATTTGGTCTGAACAAAAACTGCAGACTGGATTATTGAAAATGCACATTCATTCTCTGCCAGTAGGAAACTTTACTGAAAACAGTCGGTTCCCTTCAGAGATTCATTCATATAAAAACTTGAACTAGTGAGAATGAGAAAAGTATGAAAAAATATAGCCTATATTGATGAGGGAAATCCACTGATGAGTTACCGGCATAAGACCTCTGATAACATGCATTTAGAAAACTGTAAATTTTCATTTTATGCCAACTTTAATGAATAATTCAGAGAAAACCCTCACTGTTTGAAGCTCTCTTCTTGTAGGAGGGTCTTGAGAGTGTCTAGATCTCCCACACGGGCAGCATTATGTGTCTAGATCTCCCACATGGGCAGCATTATGTAGACTCATGTCCTCACACTGTTCCAGAGGCCTGTTGCCGAACTGCTCCTGAAGCCATCCTCTCAGGTTACGACCTAACAGAGAGACAGAGACCAGATCAGGTCAATTACATCAGCAATATTTGATGCTTGTAAGAACAAGATTCATATTTCAGTAATGTGTTGAATAATAAATCTGTAATCTCAAAAAGCTTATTGACACCATGAACGTATATAATAACCACAAACATGGTTCTTAGGTTATGTGCCGCTACAATGCCTTTATGTACAAGAACAAAGTTAAAAACAAGCCCATAATTATTTTTGATGTTCCCGCGACACTGTAGTTCCATGGCAACCGACAAGCTGCCATTGTAAAATACTTTCAGCTTCAAATATGTGAATTTAGGTTCAGTAATGTAAGTATTTTGAATAAGAATATCTCGCTAGTGTTTGTTGTCAGCAATAATGGTGTGAACAGCCCCTAATCGAACATGATAATGCATGGCTCTGAAACGTTTGTTCGTTCTGATAGAAATGTTGACGTTCAGATCAGAGGGATAATGACATAACGTTAGCAGCTGCAGAAGTGTTTGGGATCTGTGGCCCAGGGACCGGTGGGACCTCAGCATCCCCTTCAACAACATTCTCATCAGCCATCGTGTTTTGTACTGTAAGTCTGCTTCAATAAATGTATGCTCCAACTGTCATAAACCATAAAAAAGTGTCTGTGCTTTTTTCCTAATGCTGTTTTTAGTAGCGGCAGTGCGTCACGGACTCTTGGCTGCATGACTGTATGAGCAGGTCTGATTGGCTGACCAGCAGCTGTCTGTCACAGGCTCATCAGTGAACACAGCTGCAAAGATCATCGGTGCCCCTCTCCCCTCCATCCTGGACATTTTCCTTACACGATGCTCCAGCAAAGCCAACAGTATCGTGAAGGACCCCACCCATCCCTCCCACAAGTCTCTTCCAGCTCCTACCATCAGGAAGACGGTACCGGAGCATCAGAGCCTCTGGATTTAAGGTGGACTGCTCTGCTTCAAATTAAGCTGAAAATACTTGAGTGGTTTCTAAGTGTGGATATGTGCATTCTTATATGATTCTTTGATCCCAAGTGACTTACAAATTACAATAAAACAACCAGAAGCAATTTATTCAATAGAGAAACCAATACAAAGATGTCTGGATGGTGGAAGTGTGGATTCATGCACAGTTCTATTAGAACTTTGTTACATGCACATTTATTCATTTAATGATTTACAAGTGAGGATAATACAAGACGAAGCTCTCTCTCTCTCTCTCTCTCTCTCTCTATATATATAGACACAAAACAAAATCATTTCATTTATTAAATATTAAAAATATAAAATGTACCTATATACTGTATATATATATATATATATATATATATATATGCTTTTTAGCTTTTTGAGTGGGAGAGCTGAACATGGAACATCATCATATTTTTGACAGTTTTCCTGGGATTCATCCATATACTCACAAACCTTCTGCTCATTCATTCAGAGACGCGAGGAGCCCCAGAGCAGAGCAGGTGAGTGTAGATCTCGGTCCAGTACACTCTCTTGAGGCTGAAGACAAAGCTTGAATATCTTTAACTGTGGTAGGTGACTCGAGTCTGTCATTGTTGGAAGTTTATACTGAAGAGCTGCAGATGCATGCCGTATTGCTGCCTGACGACAGCTGAACCTTGAACACTGGCCTACAGGCCTGAAAAATAAACAGCGAGCCTGACGGCCTCATGTGTCTCTGAAGAGAACAGGACCGCAGGGAGAAACACCACTCAACTCTCTAAAAAGTGTTCTGAGTGATTTTAACAAGTTGCTATGCAATTGCTAAGGTGTTCTGAGTGATTCTTAAAGCTTTTTTAGGATTGTTATGCAGTTGCTTGTGCACTGCTACAGTGTTCAGGGTAGTTACTAGTTGGTTTTTAGATCAGGCTCTGCTTTATAGTCTGCCAAGTCAGAAGTAATGCCAAGTGATCGCTTAAAAGTAACATCACACCTCTTTTGAACATAACACACAATTTGAGAACATGCGGAGTAACATGCTGGAGTTTAATACTTGTGGTGAGTGGTTAGTTTAAACCCCTAACCCTAAATATGAGCAATAGTAATAATGGATTGAGGTTTACTTTTTAGAACAATCCTTTGTTAATAGCATTTTAATGACGGATTGGCTTTTCCTGGAGGTCAGTCACCAAAGAGTTCCTTTTGACCAAAAGTCCTCATTAATAAAGGCATAAACTAAAAAAAGGACTTATTTCAATGTAGGAAACCGGCGAACACAAGTTTCACCTCTTCACTGGTCATCTTGATAAAGCAGCACAATCATTTCTGACAGTCCCAAGGACCCTCTGGCTGGGGTTTTCTCCCGGGCCCACAGCAGGAGAACACTAGGACAAAAGAGCCCCGCAGGGCACACGGCCTGTTCACTCTGACCTAATCCAAATGTCCGCTCAGGCAGGTGCCCATGTTTTCAAGGGCCTCCAAATCCTGATCTTAAATGGCCCGGTTGACTGTTACTCAATAGGCGTTTGAGCGCTCCTGCAGTATGTGTGTGTGAGCCTGCGGTGCAGCGGTTTCAAGCTCTGCCAGAATAAAAATCAAAACTGATGTGCTGATACAGGCTTTTAAAATGTTATTCAATGTTTTCGCTGCGTCCCACCGGGTCAGCTTTCCAGAGCGTGGTGTGTGAAACGTTAAACACGTCCAGGCCTTTTTGTGAACTCATCAAAAACATTCACTTGGCGTGTTTACCGCTGCTCTGAAATGCAATTCAAAATAGTCATTAAAATGTCTCAGTGTTTACTTAATGGTGACATGTGTAATTTTTGTCACAGGCATCACCAAACAGAATTGGAAAAATAATGACTATGTTGCAAGTACTGTATCCCCCAAACCGCATGCATTATAAAATGGTCACAATTTACATTTTTAACAGAAATGGAAGTGTTTATTAGACTTCACTACAAAATTAATATTCATTTGTGACCTATGATACAAACAACATATACACAAAATGTACAGCAAAAAGTACGGATATGGTAAAAAACCGTTTACAGTGTAAATGGTCGTCTCTTTTACGAAGTGAATGGAAACGCAAATATATTTCATTGACATTTAAGAAGTTGATTTTACTTCAAATAAATAGCAAACTATTTTGTGTCATGGTGCACAGCTGATAATACTGATAATCTGTATATTGAAGTCTGATTCTACTGACATTCATGCTGTGTGGTTTAGATGTAAAATTCATCTAGACACTGGTACAGTACCACAGTATCCATAAAGTGTGACTAGTTATACACGTTGAAGATTTTCTACATGTTGTGCTTGACCAGTGGATCAACTTTAACAGATTGGACCTGTTATTGCTTCATCTAACACAGTTTTTCATGTCATAACCTTATCAAAATAAAAATTTTCAAATTGCTTCATGGATCTCAGTTTGCAGTAGAAAACTCTCTCAACAGCCCTCTAAAAAGTGTCTTGGAAAGTTTTTCAGTCATGTTTTCTCAGATGAAATATCAGTTGAACTTTTTCATTATTAATATTAATTTGAAACATACACATATACAGTTGATCAAGGTACATTTCTTGATTTATACAATAAATTGAAATAAAAGACACTTGTGCAATCTAATCTTGTTTCTTTGAACATATATTTAGCTAACTGAGAGGTTTTTGATGCGTACAGGTAAATTATGTGCTGTATTACAGTCTCATTTATCAAAGTGCAGAGGTGCGTGTGTAATGTTTCTCCAATTTTTGGCAATTCTAATGCTCATCTGTAAAATTCTATTGCTTACTAACAGCTTTAGAGAATTACATTAAAATATATTTATATATCATATATATATATATATATATATATATATATATACATACATATACATATGTCATATTATATTTCTATGATAGCTTGTTTCTGCCACAGCATAAATAAATAAAAAAGGTAACTGTGACTTTTTTTCTCACAATTCTGAGAACTGCGAGACATAAACTCAGAATTCTGACTTTCTTTCTCGCTATTCCGAGTTCACATCTCGCAATTCTGTCTTTTTATCTGAATTCTAAATTTACATCTCGCAACTCAGTTTTTTCTTTTTGCTCTAAATAAAAAAGAAAATCACAACTTTCTCACAATTCTGGCTTTTTTCTTGCAATTGCAAGTTTATTTCTAACATTCTGACTTTCCTTCTCAGAATTTCATCAAAAAAGTCCAAACTGTGAGATAAAAAGTCGTAATTAACTTTTTATTATTTAATCTCAGAAATAAAGAAAATGGCAGAAACAAGCTTCCATAGTTTTCAATGCACACATATACATATATAAATAAATATATATTCACATATGTGATATATTGCCAATGTTCTCTTATGAGACAAAAACACTTGTCAGTCTGGATGGAAAAAAGCAAAATAAAAATTAAATAAACCAGTCAATCTGTTTTCCTAAGAGAACATGGAGATCAATTGAAGTCCTATTTAAAACACATAAAGGACACATCAGTATGGTGACCACACACATTTATCTTTCAAGCAAGTGATGAGTGCAAATCTACTGCAGACGTATGAGTGTGTTTGAGAATCCCAATTGACCAGCGCAAACAGATCCTGGGTCTTACAGAAGGCACCTTACATGAAGGGGGTTTGAGGAGAGTGACTCCTGACTGTACCTGCACCCTCTGAACTCTCTCCAGTACTGCTCAAAGACATCAGGTCTCTTAAAGACAGGAGCTCTCCCTGCTGCTCAGTGCTTCAGGTTTCTTTTGGGATGTGCTGGCATTCACGTTTGTGAGGAGAAGCTAATTCTGGATACCATCTTCTGGATCTTCTCCTCGTTCTTCAGGATGCTGGACTTGACTGCGCAGATCTTGTCCTGCTGGTCTTTGATTAACTGCTCTAGTTCAGCGAGCTCAGCCTTCAGAGGTTCCACAACGCTGTCTGTAATTCTGAGATATAGACAGAGAAACGGCTTAACACAGAAGAACAAGACATTCAAAAAGCAGCTGGAGATTTTAATCATGATAAATATTAGGTTGCACTGATATGGAGTTATTATGGCTGATCCCCAATTATTTTTATAGCCAATATAATTGACAATTTTATATAAAAAAAAAAAAGTAATTGTAAATAAAAAAAAATAAAATAGAATAAATACATACCAAATTCTCCAGAATATAAGTCACGCTTTTTACATTTAAGACATGCTGTGATTTATATTCCATACAACTCAGCAAATTGGTAATGCTCTATTTAAATCAATTTTGAATCAATCGGACCATTATTTGTATGACTTCTAAGTTCCAAATCAATCATTTAAGAGGTTTCAGTTCAGTTAAGATGCTGTCTATGTAGGCAGTATCCAGCAAGGCAGCTTACTAGGCTTAGGGACAGAGCTAATATGCATGTGCACCTTTGTTCCTGTAGCAGAGCCTGTGCATTCTCCTTGTTCTCTTTGCGCCACGTCTGCAGTTCGTTCTGCATAGAGTCCATATCCTCCTGAATGTAGTCCATGATCTTACCCAGAGGCAGAGCGCTGCGACACACCGTTTGTATGGACGAACGCAGGCGCTCAATCTCCTTCGCCACCAATTCACGTTCCTTCTTACGAGACACCTCCGACACCAGTGACCGATCCTGCAGACAAGACCGAACCACAGGAAACAGATCAACATTAGCGGTCTCAAAACAATGTCACTCTTCCTGACTGCTATTTCTTCTGCCAGAGGTCTGTCACAGTCACTTATGAATGGAAAAGGTGTGACAGGATTTTCAACATGAAGCTATGATTGTCAAAAAAAAAATGGTACAAAAATCCAAGTGCAAAGCCACGTAAACAAATGCTAATTGTTGTCTACACAAAAAAGGTACAAAAGCATTCACTGGAGTGTACATTTTCAAAAGGTACACTTTTGTACCTTATTTATCCCTAAAGGGTGCATATTAATACCCAAAGTG